GGTGCTGCTCTCTCCAATGCTAACGCTCTTTCTCACCCTGCAAAGCGGCCAGAGACAAACGGCGAGAGATGGGCATCCTGCGATGCGATTTAATGCCCTGCAGGCCGCTTGGGGTAGACTCTACGCTGCGAAATTCTCATCGGCCCTCACCCTGGGGATCCGTCTGCCCTCCAACTGGGTATATTTCCTCTTCGTCAACCTCCGCCCTTACCGTGGAAATCCTCCTCCAAGGTAAAGCAACGTCCTGGTGGTACAATCGCTGGGAGAATCACTATTCGAAAGCGAGGTTCTGCGTTGAATCGATTCCGGCGAAAGGTATTACCCGTAACCCAGCATCCTTCTGTATGGCATCGCGAAGTGCGACTAGAAGCAGTAGTTGAGATCAAAAACGAGTTAAAGGCAAGTTCCGAGGTAAAATGGGTGGGTTATAGCGTACAATAATGAAGCTGGAGATTGGAAAAAGCAATCAAAAGAAACCCCCGTTTACTCCCCGAATGAGGTCCCCCTCTCTTCCAGCCGCATCACACCTCGGGATAGAGGAAGTTGAATTTAGAGCCTCAGAATAAAAACTAATTTTGATCAGGTTTTATTCTGATACTAGAGATTAAACTTGGAATATCATCCCTAAATTTTACCTACTCCGAGCTGCAATGTAAACAATAAGGCGAACGGACGAGTGCTGACTATAATAGCAGCATAAGGGCAGCACATCATGCCCTATTTACTAACAAAAAATGACAAGTCCCTCTCGGTGATTGTTGGCTGAGCGGCTCCACCTCCCTCGTTCGCGATTTTGGCCTGCCTTTTGGCAGTCCACAAAAAAGCTGAACTGAGGGGAAGAATCATTTGGCATCTTTGGGGCAACTTTCAGGTTTCCAGACATTCATAAACCTTTGGGGAAAGAGATATGTTCGAGAGGAAGGGTCGCTGATTAAAGGCAAAAGTCAGGCTCGTGTTTGGGCATTATGGCGCCTGAAATTGAGTGTAGAGATGGGAGGTGGAACGACAGTGAAGAAAAAACGCAAAGAAACCGTCGACAAGACCGAAATCGAAACCCCTTCCCTTCTAGCAGTGAAGGAGGCTTGCTCGGGGGAGAGCCACGTCCAAACGAGTTTTCCGGATATGCCAGCCGTTCCATCGGTTGATACGGCAATCAACCTAGCTGATCTCACACGTTAGGCCAGCCACGCACCACATCCCGCGGTGGGCGGGACCAGCTGATGAAACGAACCCATCGCTGTAAGTAGTAGGCCAGAGGCCTTGACGGCGCGCAATCTCGAGTCAGGAGTGTGGCATCACCCCTCTGAGCGCATTCCTGGAAATATTAGTGATGGAAAGGCCTTCTATGGTCACCTAATCCTGACTCGTGGCTTTAATCCATTGTGGACCAACGTCACCACACCAAAAGGATCATTATTTTTGGTTTATTGACGTTTCTTTTTGAGAAACAAGTCCATCAGTAAGCTTTCATGAGTAAAAAATTTATCAT